TGTTGCAGCAGCTTTCAGCTCATTAAAGCCTCTTTGGGTCAGAGCAGGAAACGGGCTGAAGAACCTCTCTGTGAAATCTGGACCAGCCTTGATTTGATCAACGGTTCTGCTGCTTCTGTTCAGGACAGAATGAATGTTTATCATCTATTTTCCTGAATGCATCTGATGCAGATCTGTAATGGATTCATTATTGTTTGAAATGTTTCCAGATAACCAGCTGTGATCAAGATAAAGTCTTCCACTATGATGAAGAACAATTATGGAAGAAAAACAGTCTCATTGGAATCTGCCTTTTTTTTAGTACCAATTTCTAAATACTGAATTCTTTTATACATTGAATTTCTTACACTAAATTATTAACTGGTAGTAATTTGTCTGCAAAAAATTTCACGTGCAAAAAATTTGACTCCAAATGTGTTGACCTTTTGGTAAAATCAAGCCAAAGCAATCTACACTCGATGCAGTCGAGCTGCTTCTAGCCAATGAAATGAGGTCATTTGGTCACATGACACGACAATCGGGCATAGCTTTGTTCCCGGCTGAATGAAGCTGAATGAGGAGTTTTTCTTGTTAAACTGATGATTAAAAACATCAGTTAGCTACTATAGGCAGCCATTAGAGTTTTTCATCTAATTGGGGTGAAATAACTTTACCCGTGTCTGCTAAGGCTCTTGGTTTCATGCAGAAGAAGCGACCGACTGCAATTTTTTTTTTTTTTTTCTCTGACCAAATAAGCTTATTTCATTGGCTAGAATCTTTTGCAGCTGAATTTTTTGCAGCTTAATTTTCACCAGATAAAAGTTCAGTGTTTAAAATTCGGTGTCCAAAATAAGGTAGATTCCAATTAGACAGATTTTCTTCCATAAACAATGGTTATAGTTGTTGTTCATAACATCACATGCTTGTACCCCGAGAAGGTTGCAAGTACCCGGTTCGATTCCCACAGCTGGCACTCTGGGTCTCTGAGCAGGACCCTTAACCCCACACTATAGTTCAATTTCATAAAGGTGTTTTTTTAATTTTAATGAATGTGTTAAATTATAGATTTAGTTCTGATCAGTTTTTCATCAGAATCTTCTCTATAGAAGTTCTCAGTCCTCCTTGTTTCCGATGAAATTCTCCTCCTGACATCCTAACTCCCCATCAGGTCCGTGTCCACGGTCCACACCACCATCTCTCTCCACATCCTGCCATCCCCTCAGCCTCGCTGCTATAAAGTCTGCACCCACAGCCGGCGGCGGCGCAGGAGCCTGGTGGCGTCTACGCTTCCTGAGCTGCTGGAGCAGGTGATCATGGAGATTCCTCTGGGATGTTCCACCTTTAAACGCTCCGCTTTACTGGCTTCTTCTCTTCCATGGTGGCGTGTCCCAGGCAGCGAGGGTCTTCATGCTGTCTTGCTGTAACCTCCTGACTCTGGTCCTGGAGGAGGACGGCACTGTGGTGGACTCGGAGGAGTTCTTCCA